TTAAGCATATCAGAAGCTAGTAACAAAATTCTTATCTTGTGAAAAGATAATACAGCATTATAAATTCTTAAAATGTGTTATTTTTCAAAAGATTCCCACTAAGATCCCACTAAGGGTTTCCTAAAACACGCTTTATGACCAAAAAAAAAAAAAAAGCAAAAAAAAAGCAAAAAAAAAAAAAAAAGCCAGTAGTGTGTTTTTAAACTGTATCCTTATCATTATCTTTTGTGAGCACAAATGCCTTTCTTTTTCTGTTGTGGTGTGGCTGTGAGTTCCTTCATAACTATCTGTGGAGTATCCCCAGAAACCACTTTTCATTCATTTCCTCAGGCTCGAGGAGTGTGAGCAGAAGTGACAAATTTCAGAAACACCCTAAGAAGAAGCACAGCTCTTCTTCACTACTTGGCAAAACTTAGGTCAGTATGTGGTTCACATTGCCCGAGAAATCATTCAAAATTACAGTGATTAAGAGTCACATTTCAGCAGAGGATATCTACAAGGCTATAAAACTTGTTTTCCCACAGTCCATGAACCCAAAACTTAAAACTTTGATACTCTCACCTTCAGCTTTTCTACAGCTGAGCAATGTTGCAACCAGCCAATGGGGAGTGTATGGAAGGACATGACCCTACCTCTTCCCCAGCGTGATTTTCAGTAAGGGAAACTAATCATCATCTGCCTGAAGTTACAATACACTGGGGATGTCTTATAGCTTATAAATAAAGGGCCTTGCTGCGGTCCTTTAAAATCTCTAGCACTGCCAGCCTCTTGGATGCTTGGTCTGCATATTCTCAGATACCTTCTCTAAGCAAAGTATGAGATCAGGAACCAGGACTCAATCCAAAAGCCCACAGAAATCTATGGAAACTATACCACTCATACATTGCAATTAGCATTGGAAACCAAATCCTCCTCCAAATGCACCTGAAGTGTATCCACAGCCAAATACTTATGTAGCTTAAAACCATAGGTGTCCACTTATTCATATCCCATGTGTTTAACATAACATCACAAGATCCACTCGTCATCCAAGACATGACTTAAACAGATGATAATTGTTGGCAGCAAAAGCATGTATTATGGTCATGCCCAAAATGCATGTTTGTTGTGCCAAGGGCTACATATAATTAATTTGTGATGTGTAATTTGTCCCATAGACATTATCATTCCTCCTCCTCAACTGTTCTTCAGGGCTAGCCACTATGCCATGCCTAAAAATAGTATTTGTTGACAGGTTTATAATGCACAAAGGCTGCTCCAAATCTATACCAGTCATTTACTCTAGTAGAGAATGTACCCAAACATCTCCAATTACTAGAAAATGATTGCTTCATAAACCACAAAAAATCATTTGAAGAAAATCAAATGAAAGAACTTGCTGTTGATAACGTTAAGCAATCATTGCATACCTTTAAATGTGCTCCATTAGCTTTTCACATACACCCTCTTCCTCATGTTTTATCAGCAATTCACTCTATGCGGTCACACTGCAGAGTCACTTCTGAGACCAAGAGCTATCTGTGCACACCAGTCCATAAACTTACTATGGTCTCAAAAGGAAAAAGAAAACAAAGGCTACAGCAGCTAAAAATAATGAAGGCAAAATTGTGATGATGAAAATACAAAGGCTTCTAAAAATTATGCCGTCATGTTTCATTTATCTCTGGGAGCCAAGGGCTGAAAAGCTGCACAAGTACAACAAGCAGGCATCCATCTCAACAAGGCTCCAAAACGAGTCACAGATCTCTGCTGGTGTCAGGAACATCTGAGTTTGTCATAATTACGAATGCTAATGTGAGTTTTGTAGTGGTTATTAAGCCTCATGGTTTGAAACTCGAGCCAGACAGTAACTGCAGGGAATCTCTAAGGTGATCTAATAGTGGGAAACAGGTCATCCCGCATTTTGCAATTGGGAACCTCCAGACCTTCTGCTACAGTATTTGGTTATTTGTTAAGTACGATGTAGTTCTTCTATCCATAGCACTCAAAGGGGAAAGAAATGAAAGGGTTCTGAGCACATCTCATTTGAGCCTGCAATGTGTATAAGCGATTGCAGTGATGAGGTGAAATGAATCTCCTTAGCCATAAATGTTTCTGTGAAGCACAACTGAATGCATAGAGGCAAAAAAATAATAATATAATAATTAAAAATAAAACATAACTATGGGGAAGTCTCCTATAAGAAAAGAACATTTATTTTTTCTGTTTCAGCACTGATTAGCACATTCTGATTAGCACATGCACTTTTAATATCCTCTTTTTAGCTTTATACTTTCCTCCATAGAAGCGAGCAAAAAAATGAGCAGGAAGATATCCACATCTTGAGTTAAAAAAGTGATGAGAGACTTATGACCTCAACTTTCAAACTGAGACATTTTTAAACCTTTCACAGAGAGGCTGTTCCTGGCTTCCCTCTTTTGCTCTCTCAAACTTTAACTAAGGGCAGCAATAAAAAGGTGTTAAAAAATAATGAGACATGAATCTTTCACAGGGGAACAAAATAAGGTACTTACAGGTACATGCATACCCTGAGATGTCTCATGAAGGAGGTTGTTAAATTGCTACAGGCTCCAAATTCACTAATTTATGGTAATGGAAAGCTATACAATTTGCTCCTGAAATGCTGTTTGAAGTGATTGATAAAGCTTTAGTCTGTCTGAACACATACAGTAGATAGATTTAGTGTCTGGCTTATCTGTCTGGTCCTGAGTGTTCATCAGTCAACCCAGCTAACAAGATAAAACTCAGGATTGTGGTCAGCAAGTTCATATTCATCTAAAAATATGGGGTCTGTAGCGAGCTCTTTCACACAAAGAGAGCAGACCGAGTCTGTTTAATGCTTGCTTACCCCTACTAATGCTCTCCAGCTAGGGAAGGAAAGAGCTGCGGGCTTGAGAAGCAAAATGACCCTTTGCATTTACTTCCCCCTTCAATTACTTTTTAGCAGTACCTGAAGTCACAACTGCTGAAACCCATTAACAAAATCATTTTACGGTGCCAGAAATCTCAGTAGCTCATAAAATTGCATTTTGAACCACATTAAATTTTGCACAAATGTGATTTAATGACCTTTAATCAAAATACTGCTGTTTTCTACGTGGCTCTCTGCCTTCCATCTTGATGCACAAAACAGTTCAAAGTAAAGGCTCAGCTCATAAAGGTGAAGTGAGGAAGGAAGTGTGGGGTGCAGAAGATCTAGGCACCAGTCCTAGCTGGTGTAAAGCAGCACAACGCCACTGCTCTCACATGAAATGCCAGTTACCAGAGCTAAAGAGTCTGAAGGAATGTATCTAGAACCGGTGGCTTCACAAGTAATTATGCAAACACAATTTCACTAATTTATAGGAGGTGACTATCAATATTTTCATAGGTTAAAATAAAAGTGATTAAAGCTGGATTCCAAAGTAAAGAAAATTTAGAGAATGTACTGTGGAACATATTGGGAGTTCAGCACAAGATGAGCCTATTCTGAAAGATCAGCTTCTGCCCTCCCTACTATTCACAGGGGAAAAAAAATAAAAGAATCAATGAACTCCAAACCTCTTTGCTGTTAATCCGTGCTGAGTTTCAAAAAAGCCTGTGGAAGGACAAGATCTGAAAAGGTATTCACAGTAAAAGAGGCGATGGACACAAAAGTATATGCTGCTAATTAAAAACTTAAAATTATATCACAATGACTTTAAATGAGAATGATCTCAGTCTAATCACATAATGCTTTCTTTTGTGCTCTAGGTCACGCCGTCACTCAGATGCAGCATTCAGGAAGCACATTTCATTAGACTAAATAAAGCTTCAATCATGTGTAAAATTTCCAACTTGAATAGGCAGCCATCATATCATTCATCAGTCTAGGTGTATTTAATGGGTGTAATTTTTTCCTCATATTTCTGTGTGTTGTTTCTTTTCCATTACAGAAATCTATCAAGATGTCTCCCTTTGCTGTTCTTTTGGTCAAACAACACATTCTAAGATGTACTCCAAATACAATCCTTTTTGCTTGTCAAAATTGGTTGATTGAGATAAATTTAATCCAAGAGACAGAGGGAAATAACAACACAAAGAAAACATTCCCCTCCTCCCCACCAGGAACCAGATTATATTCCTCATACTTGCATGTCTTGCAATAAATTAATTATGCTTAACCAAAAACAAATTGAGCAGCCTTGTTCAAACACAACAGCCCCTTGTGGGTTCTGCCAGTTTCTACAGTTGAATGCAAAAGGATTATTTTAAACATGAGTCTTTAAAGTAAAATATAAGACCTTCGCTGTCCCTTCCTCCCTCTCCTTCTGCATTGATATCTGTGCCAAAGAAGGTAAAATAACAAAACCTTCCAAACTTTTATTTTTCCAGGAATAGAATGAAATTATAACATGAGGAAGATTTGCAAAATCATCAGGAAGAAAACATAGCACACAGAATAGTCTTCCAATATAGAATCTTAGTTTTCTAGCTCAGTTTTAAAAGACAAAATATTTTCTTCTAAACTCTCAGTTTTATGATTTGGATGCATAGTTACCCTGCTCATCTGAGACAAAATTATCATCTTAAGCACAGTTCTAGGCTATGTACATGTTCAGAGTTTCAGTACCAATCATGTAACTGTGTAGAGTTTTTTGCCCAGGATACTCTTCCCCCTGCCCCATTTATTCCTTTGTCTGCCTCCACGGAGGATAGAAATGCAAAACATCACATAGGGACTGGACCAGATAGCCATACTAAGCCCCCACCCCTTTGACCAGCCTAAACCTTTCCTGGGTTCACTCCTTTTAACTTCCCTTCTCTTTATGTGCATTTCATCCATCTGTTGTTTTCTCTTGTGACCTGGGCCCCAAACCTGAAATGAGATCTGTTCTGGTGCACCAGGCTCAGCAGCATCAAACAACATCTATTTCAGAAAACCATGAGCCTGACTGGGCCCCAAAATGCTGCAGCCTCATTCTTATTGGCAGCACAGTCAAGTTAAAAGCCGGATAAAACACAAAGAACCTTATACTTACCTTTTCTATTCACTGAACATGTTTCAGAATCCTGAATTAAGCAAACAGATGGGATAAGGGATTTATCCATCAAATATTGCAGCTGAAATTGTAGCAGTCTCCCTGCTTGTGATTTGAAGCCACTTTGTCCATTTGATGGCATAGAGACCTGAAAAAACAAACAAATAGTGATTGAGCATTTCTTTTTAATAACAATTTCCAGCAGGGACTAATTATTTCTGAGAGTTGGAATAGCATAGGAGAAGGATAGTTGTCAGAGTCATTGAAGATAGCGTAAAGATTATTTTCTTATGGGGGAGATTAAAAAACATACTGACACATTTATTGGGGGAAAAATGCATCACAGGAAGTTAATTTGGTTGCAGTAGAAATCAGAAGAAATTCTGGCAAGAATACTTATAACCTGAACTAGGATACAAACTCACTCACTCACTAGAACTTACTCTACAGGGCCACTTCTATTGCTAGGACATTTAGCTACAGTTCAGATAGCTTTTGTGATAATACAGCTACTCATCCTTTTGACACATAACCTAATTTTTGTTCAAGCCAACAGCAAGACTCTGGTCTTCAGTTGATGTTGAATTGGAGAATTTTGTTTAACACCCAGAAGAGAAAGTGAAGTAAGAAAAGCCAGAATCCTTCTCCAGGGAGCAAAGGGAAGCTGGAATTAATTTTCAGCTCTACCAAAAGGTTTCTGAGTAACCTCCTGCCAACTCTTAATTTTCTCTGGCCAAGAAGCTCAAATATATTTTAAACACCTAATGAACTTTATAGACCAGTGCCTTTGAGTCTTAATTCCCATAAATAAAATGCAATAGTACCTGGGAATCTTTTCAGCACAAGAATTTTTAAACAGTCATAATAATCACTTTTTCTCTCATGTGACAAAGTGGGAGTACAAATGAAACTTTCTCCATCCATAACATAAAGTATCACTGTGGACAAGAGTAAGAACTCCTATCAGAGAAATACTGCAGAGGGGAATCGATGAAAACCATTGTGAAAAAAAATGTCAAACTTTCATATTTTAGATGTTTTATGTTGTATATAAAGAAAAACTGTTAAGAAAATGCTCTTTAAATGGAAGTCCACATTTTTCTTTATAATATGACCATGCTACAGATTCATACGCATTTGATGGAACACTGAAAATAGAGATAAGCTGTGGCCCCATAGGAACTCAGGATTTGTACCAGGTATTCAGCAGGAACTCCTCCTTGTATTCCAAACCATCAAACACTTTGCTTGCTAATGTTCCCACATCTTTTCTATCTGTTAAGGCACTAGGAATCTCTCACCCAAAGAGCTCTGTTCTGTAACGAAGGCACAGTGGAGGATTTGGGGGTCAGGATCAGGGCACGGTCTTGGCATGATGTGGCCTGACCAGAAGAAGAAGCAAATGGGACCAGAGAATTTCCCTCTCAAGAGCTGCCCAAAAATAGCTGCTTTCCTCCTTAACTCAGTATATATTGATTATTTTTTTCTACTATAATTTTGGTTTGATAGCATCTACAATGATATTTGAGGTCTTACAGCTTACTGCCTTTGGACAGGGAGATATAGGAACTGAACACAGTGCTATAGATTTCCAGTTTGGATGTATCAGATAGATACTAATGTCTTCTGGGGACAATCTTTGCTGAGTACAGCCATTTCCCAAAGGCTAACAAGAATGATATCATTTACTTCAGCGGGCACAAGATCAAATCCAGCATTATCGTGGATGTATTTCCCAACATGTTCTACCCGATAAAAATATTTCAGCTCTCAAAGGGGAGTCAGAAATGAGAAAGTCGGCAGAGTTCATAAACACAGTCCAGACACATGAAAGCTCAGCTTCAGATCCTGCCTCAAATTCTCAGCTCATCTGTTTCTCTCATTATGCCCAGCAGATACAAAACAGTTTTGCTCATCTTGAAGAGGGTTAATACAAGCTGGAAGTTATTTACAGTTAATAGCAGTGGAAAAATTGCAGAGCAGCTTGGTCTAGTATCTAATAATAAAAAATAGTTTCTTGTAAAGAGACTTAAGGGCAGAGACTATCCAAGTTCTTCACGTTTTTTACATTTTTTCTTCAAGAAATAGAACAAAATGCCAGTAATCCTAGCATTTGGGGATAAAGTTTTCCATAGCTTTCTGGTGACCCTGACAAAAAGGAAATCAATGACTGGTAATCACAAGCAAAAACATAAGCTGTCACTAGTTCATCAGTGCTGTGGTATTTCCAGGTTTTTGACTAGCATGTTCAGTGAGAAATAACGTTAGTCTATTTTCAGAGTGCAAAGACACTGCTGTGAGTGCTGGCATACTGTTAGATCAACTTTATTTCTTTGAAATCCTGAAAGGCAACTCCCAAAATAAAATTCAGGAAATTATATAGAGGTGTCCATAACACAAGACTAATAAAAAAAAAATCTGAATTCAAGCAAGTCAATTATTGTAACAAGTCTCAGCGTCATTGAACCCACTAATGCTATGCTTAAGTGTCTGAGATAATGTTGCATCACTGAAAAAAACAAACAAGCAAAAAAAAAAACAAAAAAAACCACACACACAAAAAAAGAGGTCTTTAGTTGTCTTGAGTTCAAGAAAACTAAGACAACACTGAAAAGCAGGTGATACTTCCTAGGAAGCCTATTTTAGAAATGCATTTCAGCTACCTTCAAAGTTTCAGCTGACAAATTCTTGTAAAAAAATCCGAGCCTATGCTCTACAGACAATCCAGAGATAAAGCTATTCGCTTTGGTACAAGTTACACATGATTTTAAATCAAATCTTCACAAGTATTTATGTGTCTTTTTCCCACTGAAATTGAGAGTTTATCTTTTACATCACTGATTATTTAAGTCAAAGAAGGTCATAAGGGTGGGGGGAAAAAAAGCCTATCTCTAAAGGTCTAGTTTCTAGAAATACTGTTACCTAAGAGCCAACTGTGCTACTCTTCGAGATCACTGATCTTTATTTTTGTCAAATTAAAATATTTATGACTTGACCCAGAGGGCAGCAAACTAAGCTAAGGGCAGGCATCCCTTAGCTCCATTACTGCAGTGTTCCTGGCAGTAGGAGAAACAGAAAAAGTTATTTGACATGACAACAGCACTTAGAGCATTGCCACTGAGAACATCACGGGCAAGTGGTGACTGAAAGCACTTCTCCAGCTGAGATCCCAGCCTCTCAGTGCACATCTGCACAGCACCTTTGTTTCATCAAAGACCTCAGAACACAACAGTCATGACAGAGAATGACGCTGAAAGCCATTGACAAAACACAGGTTAGGTCCAAATGACAGTGATGTTTTTGCATGCCTAGAAACTTCATCCTGCTCTTAAAATTTCATCACAGAGACAACATGCCTGCAGTCAATTATACCCAAATGTTGATAACAATGGTATGGAGCTGCCACATCTTGACATTTCCAAAACCGGTTTGTCTTTTTTCCCTCTTGTTCTGATTGTTTTTATTTCTCACTATCAAATAGTTTGGAGGAAGTTAGTTTATGAAAAACATGTAGGGTAGGCCCTTCTCTGAAAAATTCCCACTGCTCTGACTTTATTGTTTATTCTGTTGATTCTCCTAACTGGTCAGCAAACCCCCAGGGCACAGCTAGTGCAACGAGCAAAGGAGAGCTCACAGAGTAGTGAGTACAAAATAAAGGAAGGATTCTGTCTCTGGCTATGGACAGTATTTTACACCACAGGTAGACTTTCTACCTTCCTTCCAATTTCAGATGGGGAGGGGAAACCCTTATGGGGAAGGTAAACCCTTTTTGACACAAGTTCATCAAGTTCAGTGGGAATGCTCCCATTAGTTTCAGAGGGGTCCAGAGCACACTCAGTGTCAGCAGAGGAGGGAAAAGGGCACAAAACATGCAAAGGTACTGCTTAAGAAAATACCCACTGTGCTTCGCTCCATCAAATCAAAATTAAAAACATCATTCTGAAAAAGGCTAGAAGAAATGTTACCTTTACCTGTGTTCTTGTTTGTTATCACATTTGTAAAACTTGCATACAATGCTCTAAAATTCTCGAGACGTGGGAATACAGCAATAACAACTTGCTTTCAGGACTCTGAATAAAATCCTGGCCTGGCTGAAGGTAACAGAAGCTTTTTATTGATTTCTATGAAGTCAGAATTTCAGCTCCTGAGAAGAAACTGCAATTCCAATTTGAAAGCAAAATCTGTCAAGAAAACTGGCACAAAACCATAACTAAACAAAGTACACAAGGGATTTCAAATGAGATTAGAAGCATTGTTTTGACCCTGTGGCATTCAGAGGGGTGTGAGAAAAACACAGCAACATAGCACAAGAAGCTTTTGCAAACCAGGCAACTGAAACAGACAGTTCAAAGAATTGGAAAAGAGAGTCTAAACGGAAATGGAGTGAAAGGAAAATACAGCTCCATCTAGGGTGAAAGGAATGAGGACCAATAATTGGGATTCAGCTTTGTTTCTGTGGTAGGTGCTCTGAAATCCATGTTGGAGGAGCAGACAGAAAGGTCATGGAAGTCAGAATTATTATATGAGAAAGGAAGTGAGAAACAATGGGCTTAGAGAAGTCATGACAACTGAAGGATTGGTGGTCTTCAGCTCAAAAGAATGGGTGGCCTTTATTGATGGGCTCTTTCTATGGAGATGAATTACTGTGTGCAATATCTGTACAGACCAGAAGTACTCTGGTGACAGACTTGCTGAGTTATTTGCTGTGGATAAACTATCTACGGATTCTTTCCTGATTTTGATTTTGAACAAGTCTAATTACTGCTGTAACATGTATTACAAACCTCAGTCCAACAAAGCATATACATATGGTTCTTAACTACAGCCACATGAGGAGGCTCTCCAGCCTCAGTGGGACTGTAGACACACTTAGATTGAGCAGAAGGTTGTGCTTCACAAACAACAGGGTCCCCACGACCAAACACCCGAGCAAAGAAGACAAGTGAAAAACATGCAGAGGCAGCATTTTCACAAGCAACCCTGAGTGCCTACTGTCAGTTCTTCTGTAGTGCTGGCCACTGCTCTGTGACTTTGTTTCCCTTCCCATCGCATACTTTTC